AGGGAACGGTGTGAGGAGCTCCGTGTTGAGTTGTCCTGTATCCATCAGAAGGCAGTGAGCAAGGATCGGAAAGCACAGATAGCATTTAATGAGGAGCTGAAAAGGCAGAAGCTGGTGGAAGAGCAGATGTTCTCAAAGCTCTGGGAGGAAGACCGACTGGCCAAAGAGAAGCGAGAAGCCGAAGAGGCGAGGAGACAAAGAGAGCTGGTGGAGAACACACGGCTGGGGCTGAATGCCCAGATCACCAGCATCCAGGCGCAAAGGCAGGCAGCACGGCGGCTGAAGGAGGAGGAGGCGCGCCTTGTGGTGGGTCTTTTGAAATGCTTGTGATAGGACAATGATCTCAGTGGCTAGAATACAGTTTCCGGGCCTGCTACTGTAGTTTGCCTGATGGCCAAGGCTCATTCACAGAGCAACAGACCATGGTCAGAGCCTTGGATTTCAAGGCCCAGCTGACAGTGCCATCTCATTGTATAGGGCAAGTTACTTCACTACTGTGATTCAGTTTCCTCATCTACAAAATGAGGCAAAGGGCACTTGTCTTTGTTGTGAGGATGAAATGGGATAATCATTGGCAGTGCCAATGAAGCCTAGTGGCAGTTTGGCAACATCCCCCCATTCTTTGATATGAATAATTGATAGTTTCCAAATCCTATATAAAGTGCTTATACAACAGCTACAGTGACCCCCCAGACCACCAGCATCAATAATTTTGTTCCTACAAGATCACTGCCCCTAGTATATACAAATTAGAGTTGTCAATGGAAATGTGTGCAAGCACTCAAAAAGGTAGCAATTTTATACGTATATAAAGCTTTCAACATCTGATACTTTAATACCACTAAATTTAGGAAGATGGTAATATTTTCTTGGGGAATCCCAAGTATTGAAATTTGAAACCATAAGAAACATCAAAGGTAAGGTACATGCAGAGCCCAGAAATCTTCTCTGGGTTTAAGATTGTTTTATTTTGAAGAGTTTAGTAGAAGATCTCTAAGAAAATCAAAATAGTGGCCCCCAAATGGCCTTATATATACCCCCTCCTCTGGTGTAAGATACTTAGTGAGCCAGTTTTACTCACAACACTTCTGACACCAAATGTGTGGGTTTTTTTCTCACATCAAACAATACTCTGATGCTCTGCAGACACTGATTAGGTGTCCTACAATTTGATTCAGTTCTGATACTATATGGAGTTAGTGTCAGACTCTGTAAGTTGAAGGGCTTAGTCCCACAAGACTGCCCTCACTTCAGATACCCATCACAAGTAGTGGGTCCCTAGGTTACCCACACTTCTGTCCAGCTTGGCTACAAAGTCCAAGGTTCTCATGACTCCCCCTCAGTTTCAGTAATTCACTAAAATAGCTCATAGAACTTAGGAAAGTGCTTTACTTACCATTACCAGCTTATTGTAAGGTATACAACTCAGAGATGGTCAAATGGAAGAGATGCATAGGGGAAGGTATGTGGGGTGGTACACAGAGCTTCCATGCCCCCACCACCTTGATGCATTCAATCCAGAAGCTCTCTGGACCTCATCATTTCGGGGTTTATGGAGGTTTCATCACATGGGCGTGATTGATTAATTCAATCACCATTGGTGATTGAACTCAATCTCTGGCCCCTCTTCCCTCCCTGGAGGTCAAGGGGTGGAGCTAAAGTTCCAACCCTCTGATCACATGGTTTGGTCTTTCTAGTTATCATCTCCCATCCTGAAGCTATCTAGGGGGTCCAGCCACTGGTCATCTCATTAGGCTACAAAAGATAATCTTATCACTTTGGAGATTTCAAGGGTGTTAGGAGCTATGTGCCAGGAACCAGGGGCAAAGACAAAATATTTATTTTTTATAGCACACCTAGCTATCTCTATTTCTACCTTACTTTAAAAAAATTTTTTTTTGGAAATAACTTTAACAAGGAGTTGCCAAAAATATTAGAGTTTCTGTGTACCTTTACATGACAAAATATTATATATAGAGACTTATAAAAACTTAAACTCGTATAATACTTTCAACTAAAGTTACTCCCTTATTTAACTAAACTAAAAAACCCTCCTTTGGATTTCACCAGCTTTTACATGCACTCTTTGGAGGAAGGGGTGTAGTTCTATGAAATTTTACCATATGTAACCACTACATTTATGTAACCACTACTGAATCAGGATATAGAATTGTTCCATCATTCAAAGAAACTCCTTCCAGCTACTCCTTTACTGTTATAACCTCTGTCAAAGAAAATTCAATTAACAATCAAGTTAAGAAGGAAAAGAGAATTTTATTCAAGCCAAACTAAGGATTATATAATACAAGAGACAGACTCAGAAGCTCTGAGAATTGTTCCACCTGTTAGTAGTTGAAGGCACAGTCATATACATTTTCAAGACAGAGGATCATACATCAAAATGACGCACTGACATTTTACATAAGTTCACCAAAGATACATAGTCCGGGTAAGCACATACGAAGCAAGCAGTAAGTCACCATGACCCCTTACAGAGTTGGGAAAGAATATTAATCTTCTATAAAGTTCTATTGCTGGCGTCAGAAGAAAGAAAAAAGAATTGATCTTTGCCGTGAAGTAGGCATTCCCATCTTTGAGGAGGTCTGGTTAATGTATAATGAAGATGCACATTGCACTGTAAAGGGGGAGGGAGGAGGCCCAAACAGAGAGAGAAAGAATTTTATGTTTACATTTTCATCCTACCTTAAAATATAAATTTTATTTCATCACCACCCTCAACCCTAACCCCTGGCAGCCACTGATGGGTTCTTTATCTCTATTATTTTGTAATTTCAAGAATGTTTTTTCACCCTTTTTAATGTTTATAATTATAACATTTGTTATAATTATAACAGTAATGTCATATTAAATAATAATATGAACACTTTCAAATGCACAGAAGTGGAGAGTACAATGATCATACTCATGTACTGATCTCCCAGTTTCAGCAGCTGTTGCATTTTGACATGTTGATTTCCTATATTCTACCTCCTTCTGTTTTTGTTTTAAAATATGTCCCAGGGACTTCCCTGGTGGTCCAGTGGTAAAGAATCCACCTTACAATGCAGGGGACGCAGGTTCAATCCCTGGTCAGGGAACTAAGATCCTACATGCTGCAGGGCAACTAAGCCCGTATGCCACAACTACTGAGCTTGCGTGCCTCAGCTAGAGCCCGCGTGCCCCAAACTACAGAGCCCACGTGCTCTGGAACCCAAGCACCACAACTAGAGAAGAGAAAACCCGCACGCCACAACTAGAGAGAAGCCCGCATACCACAACAAAGAGCCCGCACGCTGCAATGAAAGATCCCGCGTGCCTCAGCAAAGATCCTGTGGGCCACAACTAAGACCGGATGGAGCCAAAAATATATGTGTGTGTGTGTGTGTGTGTGTGTGTGTGTGTGTATCCCAGACATGTCATTTCTCCCTTAAATACATCTCTAGTATGCGTCTCAACAACATGATTAAGGATATTTTCTTATACAATGCCAATATCAAACCTAAAAAAATTAATAATAATTCATTGCTATCATCTAAAATCAGCATCAAATTTCCATCACTGTCTAAGTTATTTGACATTTAAATCAGGATCCAAACGTTGTTGTCCTCTTATAAGTCTCTTTTAGAATGAGTCACTGTTTATTATTCAAATATGGTCACATTTGAGATTGAAAGGGGTGCATTTAATTCAGTACATAAGCGCAACAGTGTAAAATCAGAACTATCCTGGGAAAACCAAGACATAGTAAACTGCTTTTAGGTCTCTTAATTTTGAGCAGTTCTCCCCCCATACCATCTTTACCTGCTTCATAGTCTGATTTGGCTGATTGCTGCCTCCTGGTATAGTCAACCTTACTTTTTAAAAAGTGTGGCCTGGAACTTCCCTGGTGGTCCAGTGGCTAAGACTCCACACTCCCACTGCAGGGGCCCCGGGTTTGATCCCAGGTCGGGGAACTAGATCCCACATGCCACAAGTAAAAGTTTACATGCCGCAACTGAAGATCCCGCATGCCGCAACGAATGTCCTGCACGCGGCAACTAAGACCCGGTGCAGCCAAATAAATAAATGAATGAAAAATAAATAAATAAATAAAAAGTGTGGCCTGCTATCCCACTGGCTTTCATGTTTGATATCCGTCGTTTTTCCTTAAATATTGCAGAGCATTTTTACTTTTATTGTCTCATTTGACCCTCACAATTCAGTGTGGAATTACTCTCATGACATTAATGGAAAAGTCTAGCATATAACTTTCTTCTCACAAGCCAGAAATCATGGCAATCATGGCTGTCGTGAGTCTCAGTTAGATCAAGTCAATTGGGGATTATATCCCTCCTCACTATCAATGTGTCATCTCCTGTCCCCGCTGGGCAAGGACTTATCCCTCCAGGAGAGTGCAAATGCCTTTGACAGGAGGATTAATGCCTCAGTTTATACCAAGCTCACAGCACCCAACAGCAGTGGTACCCCAGTTAAAACTGATTGGTCAGGCAGTTAAGCTAGCCAGGAGGGTCAGATAGATAAGAAAATGAGAGGAATGGGGGAGAGCTTTTAAAGAACAAAATGCTTAATTTACTTTTGTATATTTAGCTGATGTGGACATCTGCATTTCTGGACTCTTATTGCTGGTTAATAATGTATCCAAATCTAGATGTGCAGATGTGCATAGAAGACTAAAGTCTGGAAGGTCAATACACCAAAACGTTGAGAATGGTAGTGGGTGAATGGGTATTAAGAATAAAAGTGATTTATCCTTATACTTTTCTGCATTTTGAACTCCACAACTATTTATTACTTGATAATCACACACAGACAGCAATTTCACAAAGCCGTATTGCTGATTCAGCAATGAAAAGGCAAGTTTTATTTCTTATAGTACCTTTTCACCCAGGAGTGTGTGTTTCCAAGAAACCATTTATTCTCACCTCTTAAATGAAATGCATTAACTTCTTTGTTTTGTCCAACTGTACTGATACAGTATCTTCACTATTGTTCTGCCATAGGAAAATGACAAAGCACAGGTGAAACTTGAGAATGAACAGGATAGGCTAAAGAAACAGAAGACAAAACAGGAAATAAGGGCTGCTTTGCAAAAAGCCCTCCAAGAGAAGATGGAGCATATTCAGCAGGAATACAGAGAAGATCAGGACTTGAACATGAAGCTCATGCAAAGCGCCCTTCAAAACTTACAGGAAGAGGCTGATAAAAGGAAGCAAAAAAGAGTAAGACATTTATTCAGTGCCTACTGTGTGCTGGATGAGGTTCCTTGTTGAGCTCTCAGTCTTACGGGAGCCAGCCATGTGTAGAATAAAGCATAACTGCTACTGTAAGTGTGGTCCACGAACCAACAGCATTAGCATCATCTGGGAGGATGTTAGAAATAGAAATTCATAGGCTTCAGACTCAGAATCTCCAAATTCAGATCTTGGCCGGGACAAGAAACCTGTTTTAACAAGTTCTCCCAGGTGATTCTGATGCTCATTAAAATTTGAGAACTCCTACTCTATAACATGGTATTAGTACTGTGATAGCAGGATGGGATCGCAGGAAGTGGAGTGACTAAGTATGTCCAGAAGTTGGGGAAGACATCACTGAGAAAGTGGTGTTCAAGTTGTACTTTGAAGGATATGTAGTTTTGACAGGCAAAGAGAGTAGAGAAAATCATTCCAGTGTTTATTTAGCTGTTTCTTTAAAATTTGTATTGAACTCTTTAGGGTGTTGTTGTTTTCCTAAAGGTACTATGATTTGTTTTGTTTTGTTTTGATAGACTTTATTTTTTAGAGCAGTTTTAGGTTCACAGCAAAATTGGGCAAAAAGTACAGAAACTTCCCATATACCCCCTGCCCCAACACATGCATAGCCTTCCCCATTCTCAACATCCTCCACCAGAGGGTACATTTGTTACAATCGATGAACCTACATTGACACATTATCACCCAAAGTCCATAGTTTACATTAGGGTGCATTCTTTGGTGGTGTAGATCTATAGGTTTGGACAAACATATGATGACATTTATCCACCATGAGAGTATTATACAGAGTGATTTCACTAGGCTAAAAATCCTCTGTGCCCCACCTGTTCATCCCTTCCTCCACCCCAAACCCCTGGAAACCACTGATATTTTTACTGTCTCCATAGTTTTGCCTTTTCCAGAACGTCATATCATTGGAATCATATAGTATGTAGCCTTTTCAGATTGGCTTCTTTCACTAACTAATATGCATTTAATTTCCCTCCATATCTTTTCATGGCTTGATAGCTCATTTACTTTTAGCACTGCATCTATTCCATTGTGTGGATGTACCACAGTATATTTATCCAGTCACCTTCTGAAGGACATCCTTGGTTGCTTCCAGGTTTTGGTGATTATGAATAAAGTTATTGTGTACATTCTTAGGCAGGTTTTTGTGTGAACATAACCTTTGGGTAAATATCAGCATAACCTTTGGGTAAATATCAAGAAGCGTTATTGCTGGATCATATGGTAAGAGTATGTGTAGTTTTGTAAGAACAGCCAAATTGTCTTCCAAAGTGTCTATACCATTTTGCATTCCCACCAGCAGTGAATGAGAGTTCCTATTGCGCAGCGTCCTTGTCAGTATTTCGTGTCATCCGTATTCTGGACTTGAGCCATTCTATTAGGTGCGTAGTGACATATCATTGTTGTTTAATTTTAATTTCCCTAATGTCATGTGATATAGAGCATTAAGGATTCTGAACCCAATTCCAATATGTAGAGTGGTATCCAAGCACTGCTCGGGACACGAGCTGGGTGTCCTACAATTCCGTTCAATTCTGACACTATCTACCCAGAGATAGCATCGGATTCCACAGGGAAAGGGCTCAGTTCTATAAGACTGCCCTCTACTTCAGTTGCCAGTCACAAGCCCAGATGGTTACCTGTGCATCTGACCAACTGGCTACAAACTGGAAGTTCCAATGATTTCCCCCTCAAACTCAGGATGCCAATTGCAAATCCAAGTTGTTACTTGACAGACTGGCTGTAAATCAGAGGTTCCCATGACCCCCTCCTTGAGTTCAATTGATTGGCTAGAGCAGCTCACAGAACTCAGGAAACCAGTTTGCTCACTAGCTTACCAATTTATTACAGAGTATATTAAAGGATACAAATAAATAGCCAGATGAAGAGACGTATAGGATGAGGTCCTGAACAAAGGAGCTTCTGTCCTCATGGAGTTTGGGGCCTGGCATGGTGGAAGTGTTCTGGTTCCCCAATTCTGAACCCTCTCCTTTGGGGTTTTTATGTAGGCTTCATTACATAGACATGATTGGTTAAGTCATTGGCCATCAGTGATTGATTTCACCCTCCAAACCTTCTCCCCTCCCCAGAGGTCAGGGAACTGGGGCTGAAAGTTCCAACCCTCTAATCACATGGTTGGTTCTCCTGGCAACCAGAGGTGTGGTCCAAAAGTCACCTCATTAACAGAACAAAAGACAACTTTGTTGCTCTCATCACTTAGGAAATTCTAAGGGTTTTAGGAGTTCTGTGCCAGAAATGGGGATGAAGACCAAATATATATTTATTATAAATCATAATACCACAAGCATCTTTTTATATGTTTGCCATCTATATATTTTTGATGAGGTGCCTGTTAAGATATTTGGCTCATTTTTTGAGTTGTTTGTTTTCTTCTTGTTGAGTTTTAAGAGTTCTTTGTATATTTTATCGCGAAAGCACCCTTCCTACCGTCTTGTTGTAGCTTCTTTGTCTTTGGACGTAGAATATCTCTTCTGGTAGGTCCCAGTCTTTTTTTGTTAATGGTTGTTCAGCAGTTAGTTGTGATTTTTGTGTTTTCATGAGAGGAGGGGAGCTCAAGTCCTTCTGTTCCACCATCTTGTCTCCAATGCTCTCTGTATATTTTAGATAACAGTCCGTTATCAGATAAGTTTTTAGCAAATATTTTCTCCCAGTCTGTGACTTGTCTTTCATTCTCTTGATCAGAGCTTTCATAGAGCAAAATTTTTAATTTTAATGAAGTCTAGCTTATCTATTCTTTCTTTCATGGATTATGCCTTTGCTATTGTATCTAAAACCTTATCACCAAACCCAAGGTCACCTAGATTTTCTCCTTTGTTATCTTCTAGGAGTTTTTTTTTTTTCTTTTACAACTTCTAGGAGTTTTATATTTTATGTTTAGATCTTTGGTCCATTTTGAGTTAATTTTTGTAAAGGTGTAAGGTCTGTTTCTAGATTCTATTTTTTTTTTTTTGGCATGTAGATGTCCAGTTGTTCTAGCACAATTTGTTGAAGAGATTCTCTTAACTCCATTGTATAGCCTTTGCTTCCTAGTCAAAGATCAGTTGACTATATTTATATGAGTCTATTTTGGGGCTCTATGTTCTTTTCTATTGATCCATTGATCTATTCTTTCACCAATTCCATACCATCTTGATTACTATAGTAAGTCTTAAAGTTGGGCAGGGTCAGTCGTCTGACTTTGATCTTGTCCTTAAATACTGAGTTGGCCAATTTGGGTCTTTAGCCTCTTCATATAAATTTTAGAATCAGTTTGTTGATTTCCACAAAATAATTTGCTGGGATTTTTTTAAATTACATTGAATCTATAGATCAAGAATGGAAGAACTGATATTTTGACAATATTGAGTATTCCTATTCATGAACATGGACTATCTCTCTATTTAGTTCTTTGATTTTTCTCATCAGCTTTGTGCTTTTCCTCATATAGATCTGGTACATATTTTGTTAGATTTGTACCTGTGTATTTCATTTTTGGGGTGCTAATGTAAATGGTATTGTGTTTTTAATTTCAAATTCTACTTCATTGCTGGTATATAGGAAATCAGTTGACTTTTGTATGTTAACCTTGTATCCTGTAACCTTCCTTTAATTGCTTATTAGCTCCAGGAGTTTTTTATAGGTTCCTTCAGATTTTCTACATAGACGACCAAGTTATCTGTGAAAAAAGACCAACTTTATTTTGTTCTTCCCAATCAATATACCTTTCATTTCCTATTCTCGTCTTATTGTTTCAGCTAGGACTTTCAGTATAATGTGAAAAAGAGTGCTGAGAGGGGGCATCCTTGCCTTGTACCTGATTTTAGTGGGAAAGCTTCTAGTTTTTCATCATTAAGTATGATGTTAGTTGTAGGTTTTTTGTAGATATTCATTATCAAGTTGAGGAATTCCCACCTTTATTCCTGGTTTACTGAGAGGGTTTTTTTAAATTTTAACATGAGTGGGTGTTGGATTCGGCCAAAACTTTTTTCTGCATTACTTGATATGATCATGTGGTTCTTCTTCTTTAGCCTGTTGATATGATGGATTACATTAATTGATTTTTGCATGGTGAACCAGCCTTGCTACCTAGGATAAACCAATCAGAGAAGAAAAGAAATAAATGGAATCCAATTCAGAAAAGGAGAAATAAAGCTGTCACTGTTTGCAGATGACATGATACTATACAAAGAGAATCCTAAAGATGCTACCAGAAAACTACTAGAGCTAGTCAATGAATTTGGTAAAGTAGCAGGATACAAAATTAATGCACAGAAATCTCTGGCATTCCTATACTCTAACAATGAAAAATCTGAAAGTGAAATTAAGATAACACTCCCATTTACCATTGCAACGAAAAGAATAAAATATCTAGGAATAAACCTACCTAAGGAGACAAAAGACCTATATGCAGAAAATTATAAGACACTGATGAAAGAAATTAAAGATGATACAAATAGATGGAGAGATATACTATGTTCTTGGATTGGAAGAATCAACATGGTGAAAATTACTCTAGTACCCAAAGCAATCTACATATTCAATGCAATCCCTATCAAACTACCACTGGCATTTTTCACAGAACTAGAACAAAAAATTTCACAATTTGTATGGAAACACAACAGACCCCAAATAGCCAAAGCAATCTTGAGAATGAAACATGGAGCTGGAGGAATCACGCTCCTTGACTTCAGACTACACTACAAAGCTACAGTAATCAAGACAGTATGGTACTGGTGCAAAAACAGAAATATAGATCAATGGAACTGGATAGAAAGCCCAGAGATAAACCCACGCACATATGGACACCTTATCTTTGATAAAGGAGGCAAGAATATAGAGTGGAGAAAAGACAGCCTCTTCAATAAGTGGTGCTGGGAAAACTGGACAGGTAAATGTAAAAGTATGAAATTAGAACAGTCCCTAACACCATACACAAAAATAAACTCAAAATGGATTAAAGA